TAACTTATGACAACAGAAGACTAATCCAACAGTACTGGACTCAGGTGTAACTTATGACAACAGAAGACTAATCCAACAGTACTGGACTCAGGTGTAACTTATGACAACAGAAGACTAATCCAACAGTACTGGACTCAGATGTAAATTATGACAACCGAAGACTAATCCAACATTATTCGACTCAGATGTAAACTATGATAACTGAAGACTAATCCAACATTATTCGACTCAGATGTAAACTATGATAACTGAAGACTAATCCAACATTATTCGACTCAGATGTAACTTATGACAACCGAAGACTAATCCAACAGTATTCGACTTAGATGTAACTTATGACAACCGAAGACTAATCCAACAGTATTCGACTTAGATGTAAACTATGATAACTGAAGACTAATCCAACAGTATTCGACTCAGATGTAACCTACGACAACCGAAGACTAATCCAACAGTATTCGACTTAGATGTAAATTATGACAACCGAAGACTAATCCAAAGTACTTTACTCAGAGGCAAGTACGGTTCCATGTTGGATTAAAAACAGAAAGTGTGAGCAATAAAACAACTGAAAGTTTCAATGTACCTCAAAAACAAGACTTTTTGCTACTAACATTACACCAACAACGTAAAAGTGTTGGAGATACTGTAACGATTATTAACTAGGTCGTCTATTTCCTGTAGAGAGTTTTATATATATACACATACACAAATATATATTAGTGTACCTAAACGTTAATACTGATCCTGTCCGTCCTGTAATACTATATTGTGTCTTACACTACTCTATACTATATTGCATTACACTATAATGTATTGTATTACACTACACTATAATATATTGTGTATTCCACTAAACTATACTATATTGTATTACACTATACTATATTGTATTACACTATACTATATTGTATTACACTACACTATATTGTATTACACTACACTATATTGTATTACACTACCCTATTTTGTGTATTCCACTACACTACACTATACTGTATTATACTACACTACACTATATTGTATTATACTACACTACACTATATTGTATTATACTGCACTACACTACACTATATTATACTACACTACACTATATTGTATTATACTACACTACACTATATTGTATTATACTACACTACACTATATTGTATTATACTACACTATACTATATTGCATTGCACTACACTATACTATATTGTATTGCACTACACTATACTATATTGTATTGCACTACACTATACTATATTGTATTGCACTACACTACACTATACTGTATTACACTACACTATATTGTATTATACTACACTATACTATATTGCATTGCACTACACTATACTATATTGTATTGCACTACACTATACTATATTGTATTGCACTACACTATACTATATTGTATTACACTATACTATATTGTATTGCACTACACTATACTATATTGTATTGCACTACACTACACTATACTGTATTACACTACACTATATTGTATTATACTACACTATATTGTATTATACTACACTACACTATATTGTGCATTCCACTACACTATACTATATTGTGTATTCCACTACACTACACTATATTGTGTATTCCACTACACTATACTATATTGTGTATTCCACTACACTATACTATATTGTGTATTCCACTACACTATACTATACTGTATTACGCTACACTATGTTATATTGTATTACACTATACTATATTGTATTACACTACACTATACTATATTGTGTATTACACTACTCTATACTATATTGTATTACACTACTTTATACTACATTGTATTACACTACACTATACTATATTGTGTATTACACTACACTATACTATATTGTGTATTACACTACACTATACTATATTGTGTATTACACTACACTATACTATATTGTGTATTACACTACTCTATACTATATTGTATTACACTACTCTATACTATATTGTATTACACTACACTATACTATATTGTATTACACTACACTATACTATATTGTATTACACTACACTATACTATATTGTATTACACTACACTATACTATATTGTATTACACTACACTATACTATATTGTATTACACTACACTATACTATATTATATTACACCACACTACACTATACTATATTACACCTCACCACACTAAAGTATATTGTATTAATTATACGATATCATATTCTATTAAACTGTATTGTATTGTATTATATTATATTATATTATCCTATATTGTATTATATTATATTATACTATATTATATTATACTATATTATCCTATATTATATTATATTATACTATATTATATTATATTATACTATATTCTATTATATTATATTATACTATATTATATTATACTATATTCTATTATATTATATTATCTTATTGTTACGACAGCGGAAGTCGCGTGAAGCTATGAGCATGCGCGCACGAGTTTCTCGAAGGATCATGAATTATCGGGATAGATAATTGAGTGTAGCGAACAGTAGGCACCGTAAGTAAAGTGTTTGAATCACTGTGATTTATAGCGTGTGTTATAAAGGCTGTTAAGTTTAAAGTGACTGTGGAAATTCTGTGTATTACAAAGTTGTTAAAAGTTGTGTCGAGAAAGAATAAACTAGTTTTAATAAAGAAAGGACTTGTATCGCTGAAGTTCCTCGGAAACAATTTATACCAGAAATTAACTAACGAGTTTATACGCAACACTGTATTCTGTACTATATCATATTATACTATCTTGTATTATACTATATTATCAATGGTGACAATACATCAATCAACGACACTCCTATTGTAAGAGTTATTCCTGTCACATTCGTTGGCCACAACAATCATCGTATCTCAGTCTGATTGAGATTTGTTGAGTTTACTCATAGTAACAACTACTGACAGATGATTTACAGATAAACCAAGACATCTTACGGAGTCTGTGTAACAACTACTGACAGATGAGTTACAGTTAAACCAAGACATCTTACGGAGTCTGTGTAACAACTACTGACAGATGAGTTACAGATAAACCAAGACATCTTACGGAGTCTGTGTAACAACTACTGACAGATGAGTTACAGATAAACCAAGACATCTTACGGAGTCTGTGTAACAACTACTGACAGATGATTTACAGATAAACCAATACATCTTACGGAGTCTGTGTAACAACTAGTGACAGATGATTTACAGATAAACCAAGACATCTTACGGAGTCTGTACCACTCCACTTTCAGGATATTTATCGCGACAAGAGAGTATCAAGCTGAGTACTAAGTGAGTGTTGAAAAGGCGACAGTCAGTGTAGAGCAAAGATATCGGAGCTGGTTATATAATTTGAAAGCCTCTAACCCTAGAATCTAGCGTTACAAGATAAAACAAAGTGCACCAGAACTGGTGTTGGTGGCCGGGTGCCACACCAGTAATTTGATTGGTGAAGTTTTTCTTGAGTTTGTTTTTAATATATATATTTAAATCACCGAACGAATCCTATACCCCATTAGTATTACCTCACAGTCAACTGCCACCATTTATAAATTAGTTGTAATACACAAGATGGCGCTGTAGTTGTTTCTTGTTAATTTGCGTGTTGTGTGCTACCATTAAAAGCCACATTGCATATTCTACTATGGACTGAAAATAATTGTATAAACTGAAATACACGTATAGTACGTATATATTCACTTACTGACGTTCAATTTTTTTGAAGATGGCACGAATGAGCTTAAGAATAGCGACAAGAAAGGAACCGAGAGCAACAGAACCAAGATGATATCGCACCAAGTTGTAGAAACTTGTAGCGATTGGTGTCTTCAGCTTCTTTTTATTCCTAGAAATAAAATACAGGGCACTAGTAAACACTTTTTGTACTGATTATTTGTCGTAAATTTATTTATACCTAATCCTTTTGCTCAGAGAAAAATATTACCGAACAAAATCGCATGCTAAGAGTGACAGAAATTTTCTGAATTCTTGAAATATTTTTTATTTTATGTCATTTGTTATGGAGAGTAAATGATATTTAATGCGACAAATGGGCTAAAGATTAAGTCACAGACTTCACGTTTAACAACTTAAGAAAATTGTAATGAGTTGTATTATATTATTTATAAAAAAACGTGCTGTGTAGAAATAATTTTCTTAATATTTTCTATTTTCATAGATGGCGCTTTTTCACGAGTCTCAAAAACGTTTTCAATAGTGTTTAGCTTTCACACACTGAAAAGAATAAAAATGTATCTATTTTAAAGTAAACTTTCAAATTATTTATTTTTAATATCGTCCGATTTATCCTTTAAGCTAGAATACTAACAGAACACTACTAGTTCTGACTTGAAAACAAAAAATAAGCCCTATTCAAGTTTTAAAAATCATTAATCTTATTTCACTGCAATACTGTTTAAAACAGATAAACTTGATTAAACTACATAAACGAAAGTTACAATTATCAACAAAAACGTCACATACGGTGTTGAATATTAGACGACCGTTTCGTAAACATGAAAACACGGTGAAAGCTCCATTACATTATATAATGGAATTATATAATAAATGACGCATTTAGAAAAAAATATGGATATTGTTACGACAGCGGAAGTCACGCGACGCTGGAAGCATTGGCGCTAGAGTTTCTAGAAGGATCATGACTGTTCCTGGCAACTCTAGTCTTTTCCAGGCGTCCTCTATTTTAGTATATAAGCCCGGCAAATAAAGCGAAGAATATTTGCAGATTAAAGAGACAGATAACTGAGTGAAGCGAGCGGTAGTGACCGTAAGTAAAGTACGTGAATCGTTGTGAATTATAGCGTGTGTTGAAGTTAAAGTGACTGTGGAAATTTTATGTATTGGAAAGTTGTATTGAGAAAGAATAAACTAGTTTTATTTAAGAAAGGACTTGTATCGCTCAAGTTTCTGGGAAAGAATTTCTACGGGAAATTAACAAACGACCAGAGACGTAACACTATGAAAGATCTATACTAATTTGTTTATTTATTATAACAAGCATACTTGCAAATATAACATTACTATTTCAAAAAGGAACTCTTAATGATCCATATAAAGTTGTAAGAAAACTTTGACAATAAGAATCATTAAAATATTTATAGATTATAGGTAGTGAACTGAAGTCGAAATCAAGAAAACAGACCTGGTAAAAAACCACGTGGCTACAGCACCTGCTATCACGACGTGTTGACAAGAAATGACGAATTGGGTGAACCAGAATAACGCAAAGAGATGATACCACTTCATAAGCTGTAAAAGAAGATCTAGAGGTATGAAACAGATACCTTTATATATTGTATATAACACTGTCGGATACCACTAACTTGTTTCTTAGATAACAGTGAACGTTCTCCATATATAACATGCCCAAACAACACAAAAACTACATTCACACTACATAAATCCGTAGGGCACAGGTTATAATGTGGGATATATAAATGAAAAATATACAAAAATTAAGCAAGAAAAATAAGTTAGGAGAGCAAGCCCACAACGTCCCACATCTATATCACCTTTCAGTGCCTACAGCCCACAACGCCTCACACTTATACCACCCTTTACTGCCTACAACCCACAACGCCTCACACCTATACCACCCTTCACTGCCTACAGCCCACAACGCCTCACACTTATACCACCCTTCACTGCCTGCAGCCCACAACGCCTCACATCTATATCACCCTTCACTGCCTACAGCCCACAACGCCTCACATCTATATCACCCTTCACTGCCTACAGCCCACAACGCCTCACATCTATATCACCCTTCACTGCCTACAGACAGTTGTGGGAAAGTGAACTGCTATCCAAAGAAATATAAAATATATGAAGAAAAGAAAAACACAAATAAGGTTCTACCACTGTGGGTAAGTAATACCTAAAATAGGGCATTAATTACTTTTTATTTTCCAATATACGGCCTACTTTATTTTAATGGTAATATGCCATACTCTTCTGCTATAACTTCTCAATTCCTCAGATTTTTGTAACATCTGTAACAAAATATAATATTTCATTATTATACTAATAACTTAGGTTGGGCTTAGTAGTAATACCTTAACATTTTGGTATTTATGTAAAAACATCATAGTGAGGCTGGAATGATGTATAGTACTATACTTATGTACAAACATCATAGTCGGAGCTGGAATGATGTATAGTACTATATTTATGTACAAACATCATAGTGGAAACTGGAATGATGTATAGTACTATATCTAAGTGCAAACATCATAGTGGGGCTGGAATGATGTATAGTACTATATTTAAGTACAAACATCATAGTGGGGCTGGAATGATGTATAGTACTATATTTATGTACAAACATCATAGTCAGAGCTGGAATGATGTATAGTACTATATTTATGTACAAACATCATAGTCGGAGCTGGAATGATGTATAGTACTATATTTATGTACAAACATCATAGTCGGAGCTGGAATGATGTATAGTACTATATTTATGTATAAACATCATAGTCGGAGCTGGAATGATGTATAGTACTATATTTAT